TATTTTTTGATATGGAAGTTTTATTAGTGGGGCACATATGTGTCAAAGTTATGGAAGAAGACACTTCAGTCAATGCTACAAGATGACATGACAATACTAATATTATGGTCAAGCTAGACACTTGGTGGCTAAGTGTCTGTAGGAGGAGATAATCATCATTCTAAATTCTAAACCTAATAAGTAGATAGATTGTTTATTTGTCCTAATAAGTCTCCATGGGGAGTACCTATTCTATTTGTGAAAAAGAATAACAATATGAAGCAAATGTGCATATATTACTGGGAATTAAACAAGGTCACAATCAAGAATAAATATCCTCTATCTAGGATTGATGATCTATATGATACTTATCAAAGTTTATATGTGTTCTTAAGATTGATTTGAGATCTGGTTATTAGTATGTATATGTGAGAGAGGTGGATGTAATTAAGACTACATTCAGTACGAGGCAAGGGTATAACAAATTTGTAGTCATGCCTTTTTAGGTGACTAACATGCCTACAATTGTTATAAATTTGATGAACATGATATTCAAAAAGTATCTAGTTCAATGTTTATCATGTTTCTAGATGATATTTTAGTTTACCTATCATTTGAAAAGGATCATATAACGCATTTAAAGATAATTCAGCGACACTAAGGTAGCATCAATTGTTTGCAAAATATTTTAAGTGTGAATTATGGATGAAGAGTATCGCATTTTTGGATACATGGTACGTAGTCAAGTTCTTTATATAAATCCCCAGAAAGTTTAATATATTACTTCTTAACCAAGGCCTACCATCGTATTTGAAGTACATAGCTTCTTAGGCATAGTCGGGTATTGCATAAAATTTGTAAAAGGAATTTCCTAAATTTCTATACTTCTTATAAGACTGACTTAAAAGTTTGTAGCTTTCATATGGATCCCTGATTATGATGTAACTTTTAATAGTTAAAAGATTGCCTGATATCTACTCTAGTTTTAACTATCCCATTAGGAATAGAGGGATTTTAGGTGTTCAATGATACTTCATTAAAAGGATTGAAATGTCTTCTAATGTAATATAAAAAAGTTATAGTTTACACTTCAAGGTTGTTGAAGCCACATACGAGCAATTATGTAACATATAATTTAGAACGTATTTTTGTTACATTCACTTTAAAGATCTAGAGAGACTATTTATATGGAGTTAAGTGTGAGATATTTACTGATCATCAGAGTATAAAATATATTTTTACTCATAAGGATCTAAATTTGAGGCAGAGAATGTGGCTTAAGTTAATCAAAGATTATGACATGACTGTTCAATATTAGCTAGGTAAGACAAATGTGGTAGCAGATACTCTAAGTAGAAAATCTTCTAGAGTGTCAAGTCTTCTTCTTACTTCTGATGACATTTAATTTAGGATAAGAAGAAATTAGATTTGGAGTTGATTACCCATACTGATCAAGATTTTGACCTCTGTCTCAGATGATTATTCAACCATCTTTACAGGAAATGATTTAAGAAGCTCAGAGAACATATGTAAATTATATGGAGCTGATTTATAAAACTATGTATAGTAGGAAATCAAAACTATAATTATCTAATTATGGAGTCATTTTCTATAAGAATAGATTATGGGTTCCTTGTTATGGAAGTTTGAGATGAGAGATGTTGTATGAAATGCATTATTTAGGATATACTATTCATTCGGGGAGTAGAAAAATGTACAATGATTTGAATGGTATATTTTGATGGCTTAAATTAAAGGAGGATGTCATAGATTTTGTTTCAAAATGAGAAGCTAGTATGTTGGTAAAGGTAGAACACTAGCGATCTGGAGGTCTTCTAGAACTTTTACCTATTCCAAGTGGAAATGGGGAGAAATAATTATGGATTTTGCTATGAGATATTTGAGATTGAGGAAGGGACATGATGCCATCTAGGCAGAGATACATCATTTGATGAAGTCTACAAATTTTTTTCATATTCAATAAGTTGACTATGTAGATAGAGTGACACAAGTTTATAGAGAATAATAAAAAAGGATTTTAGCCCTTGACATTAGGAGGTTACAAAACAAACGGATCCCAATGGTTAGGTATAGATAAAAGACATAATATAAAGAGAAGCCTTATGTGAGAAGGAATCTGAAATGAGATAGTTAAATCCCAATCTATCTGCTAATCTAATTTTTAAAATTTAGAGGATGATACCCTTTTAAGGAGGGGAGGATTGTAACACTGACTACATCCATATATAGTTGTACATATTTATGCACGATCTAGGCGACCTCTAGAATTTTTAGGTATATCACCCCTTATATGTATCTATAAGTGTATTGTATGCTATGAGTGTCTGAGTTAATTCTAAATCGGGTCCTAACAGTTTACGTGCATGATTTAAAAATTTAAAAATTTTCCCCTAGGGCATCGTGATGTTGGGATTGGTGGCACAGTGACATTTAGCTCTCTATTTTTTTTTTCAAAATAATTCAATGTTGTGGCACATAGGGCGACGCTTTAGCGCCATGCTCTCTAATGGAGAGTGTGCGGCCCAATAGGGTAAAGTGAGAGAGAGAGAGAGAGAGAGAGAGAGAGAGAGAGAGAGAGAGGATTTTATAAAGAGAAAGCTAGGATTTGGGTGACTCTAATTCATTTTCTATTGTCAACCCAATTTTGAAAATATCAGATTGAGGTATATTATATTTTGTTTATATCAGTTTTTAAACCATAGAAATTTTTGTTTTTCCCTTTTAAACTTTATAATTTTATATTGACAAAATAAGGATAATTTCTTAACTACTAGACTTTTATCGTGCTACTTTATGTATGTTTTAATAATAATTATTCATGATAATTAGCTATTTTCTGGAAAATATTTGTTGGGTAGTTTAAAAGTGTGTTTTTTTTAAAGCTAGAAAATAATTATAATCCCACAAATATAATGAAAACTTCATTCTATTGTTTTGAATAATATTTAATAATCTAGTAAAATTCTAAAAACATGAAATTCTGCTTAGTAGTTAAATATATTGCCTAGCGATAAAATATATTGTGAATTTTTGAAATTTGTTCAATTACATTATTTTACTGTAAATGTAATGATATATGCTTATCTTCTTGAAGTGTGTAATTCTCTAGAGTTCGAATATTGGAGAAAGTTCTAATGTTAAATGCATAAGTAGTTATAAGAGCCTAAATTTTTGAATATTAATTATGTGTTAAGTATTAGGAATTTTAAGGTTTTGTTTTTTGATATGCTAGCATAGGGAGTCATAAGGGCTTGAACTCTGATGTTTATTTTTGATGAGAAGTATAAAGGCCTAAGAAAAATATTTTATTTTTTGCTTTAATATATGAAGTGCTTGTTTATGTGCTTTTGGAGCACAATCTGCTTTATTTTCAGTTATTTGTAATTAATGCTACACTATATATGATGGATTTCATGTGAACTGCCTTTACATTCAAATGCAAAATAAGCGAATCATTGAAAATTTAGGTTGGTGGGGGTAACCTACTAAGTTGTGTTGGGTCACATGTATTATGTGTACTATTTCAAGTATGGGGAATAGGAAAGAGCTAGTTAAGAAGATGAGGAATTATGATCAAACCTGTCTAATAGTGTAGATGTATTTTTATGATTTTTGATAATCATGACTAGATGTCTTTTTTTTTTTTTTTTTTTGTCGTGGTATGTAGTAATGCACTCTAATGTATAAATTGTTATATGTATTTTGATGATAAATGAAGAGAATAGAAATATGTGGATGAGTTTATTTGCTACTTACTGGAAGACAATTAGAAGCTCTATGGTCCAAATAATTTAAAATAAATTATGAAAAGTCCTCAAAACTTAGATCTTGGGGTTGGTCTGACACAAGTCAACACGATATGACATAATCTACTTGTGAATTATATTGGATTGAGTTATGACACTCAATAAGTAATCCATGGTAAGAAAATGGAGCATATGTGTCCATTGTCTTGAACATTTCTCTAAGTATGTGTCCGTTAGACAGGTTTGATCATAAACAAATGGGACACATATGCTCCATTTTCTTATATGCCAATTTTAGGTATTATGAACATTATATAAGATAATCATAAACAAATAGGGGACATATTTCGCCAATTTTAGGTATTATGAGGCATATAAGATCAAATATTCTCTTGAGATATTTGACTTTATATGCCATATTAGTGGAATTTGGAGAAAGTGTCCACTATTTGTTTTCTTATGAAAATGTACCTAAAAATTACCCCTGATATTGATCATGGATTGTTTATTGAAGCTATTTGCAAGAGAAATTGGTTCGAATTCAAACTTGGTTTGAATGTGGTTTAAACTTGGTGCAAATGATTGTCCAAATGTGATTGGGATGATGTTTGAATGTGATTTGAACTAGGTTCTAACCTTTGCTTGATGGCTTCAACAAAGGTTGTTGGATCAAGCATAATGGGATCGAAGTGCAAATGGAAGGGGATTTTGTGATTAGTGTGCACTAGGGGCTCACTAATGGGATCAAAGAGGAGTGATGAGCAATGAATTTCATGATGGGAGCTCATTAGAGGATTGCCGAAGGGACTGATGGCGTGTGAGGAGAAGACAATTTTATGATGGAAGCCCATTAAGGGTTTGTCAACATGATCAATGATGTGTGAGTGATTTCATGATGGGAGCTCGCTAGGGGCTCGTTGATGGGACTGATAACATGTGATAAGAAGGTGATTTTGTGATGAGAGCTCATTGATGGATTGATAGTATGCGACCAGAAGGAAATTTTAGGATGGGAGCTCATCGATGAGATTAGTTAAATGTAAGGATAAGATGAGCCTCATTTAAACTAGTGATGGGAACAATATTTAGACAAATATTCAAAGTGGATCAAATTTGAACTAAATCCAATTTTGGCGGACTTCAATGAATAATTCTTATACTCAAAAGGAGGCAATTTGACCCAAAATAAAAATTTGAATATATTCTTTTAAAAAATTAGTAATATTCATATATGATGAGGATCTTTAAAAATTTTTATGAAACTACCATACACCCTAATCCTGCTTTTGTTGGGCGTTCTCTCCCTTGCCGGCAAGAAGAGGATCCCGAGCCTCCGGAGGCCATCGCCCTAGTTCAGCCCAAGATGGTGGGCGCGACGGAGGAGGCGCGATTGAATCAGCTAGAGACTCAGGTGGACAACGGCGGCGGGGAGGCGTGGGAGTATCTCTGCCTCGTGCGCAAGCTTAAGGCCAGGCGATCAGAGAAGGTCCTCAGACATGGAATCTTCATCCTAAACAGCCATATCGCTCGATCCAAGCTAGGTGGAGAAGGTTAGCACCCCAAAGGATATTTTCTTTGACATATCATGCACCTCTTCTTTGGTTTGAATCTAAAATGCGTTGTTTTGGGATGTCGGGATAATGTTTCTGTTTGAAATTGTGCATTTTTTGATGTGATTGATGAGTTTAGTGGATGCTTGTTCCAGAGTTTCTTTGTGTATCTCAACTTGCTTCTTAGATCGGGCTTGTCGTTACTGTGTAAATGTTTTTCCTTACTTTGTAAATTGCTGATTCTCTTACATAGTTTTGTCTGTTTTCTTCAGTTCCATATAAGTCATAGCAAGTTATATCAACTATGAAAGCGTATGACCTTTTGTAACTAACATTGAAGTTCCTTTTTATTGTTACGTTTTGTGTATTGGTATTGGTTTTCATTATGCAATTCCTAGCATATTGCGATATTTGTATGTGCAGATGACTTTGTTAGAATATGGACCTGATCTCTTACTAGTATGCTTGTAACTCTTACTTGAATCATATACAATTCTATATCACATGACCAAATTTTACATAATCTAACTTAAAAATTCATCAGTTCTAGCTTTCTTTGATGTGATACATGCTTGGAGTTACACAAGATTATCAAGAGAATTTAACAAAAGTTTAACCTTTATAAAATGATGCGTCTTCAAAGTAGGTTACAAGAATTCTCAGTCTTCCACTTGCTTAGGCAAAGAATTGCATGAAGATTAACCAAGACACTTTCAATCAAATACAAGGTGAAGTAATGTAAAAGCTTGTAACACAAATCCAAAAGTTAATAATGAGGTGTTGACCTTTGAGGATCTACTCTCTTCCCTACGGATCTAGGTTGAGTGGAGAAAGATCTTCCACACTAGAAATGAAGTAACCACTAGGACGGATGAGCCGAGGAATGTTGTTGTTGGGAAGGTAGCCGGAGTGGTGGAAGAAGATGGTCGTCCAATGATGATCCAACGTCCCTTTGACCTTTGTTCGTCGATCACGTCAACTAAGGTGTATTGGATACGGTCGATGTATTCTTCAATGGTGTCTTCGAAATCAAAGCCCACGTCAAAGAATGGCGATTGGAGGATGTCGACTTGATCTCGATCGTCATGCACAAATCCAAAGTTCCATTCGGGTTCCGCCATGCATGGTTTGCATGGAGATGAGAGAGCATGACAAGAAAACCCAAGAGAGGTGAGGTGGTAGCCGGCTTGGAGAAGTGGAGGGGAGAGGCTAGGTTTCTTGGTGGAAACTAGGTTAGGTTGGGGTGGAGGGGATTAATTCTAAATCTGAAATTACTCTCAGATTTTGAGTTAATTGGGAGGGAAATACTCTTAAAATTTGAATCCAAATAGGTGGTAATTAATTCCTTTGAAGGAGGGAATTAATGGGAGGGAGCCATAAGGGGGCCGGCGGCATAGAGGGAGAGGGGTTTGTGGAGGAAAACTGAAATCAATTTCAGTTTTAAGTGAAATTGGAGGGAAAGTTATTTGAGATGCAAGGAAATCGAAAATCACAAACCTCACACTTTCCGCTAGAACTCACAAAGAGATCTAAGAGCTTTCTCCTCAAGAACTCACAAAGAGATCTAGAGGAGTTTTGGAACTCACAAAGAGATCACCAAGATAACTTTTCATTCATCAATAATCAACCCTCTTACATAAGAAAATGGCCATATATATAGGCCTCAAAATGACAAAGAAAACGAAAGACTAAAATGCCCCTTGGGCTACAATAACGACCAACTACCCATAAGGACAAAAACGGAAAAACTGAAATAACAAGATTAGTACATAAAATACTAACACAGAAAATGCATCAAAAGTAAAGACTCTCCATCATGGCCATCGATCTCCTGTGTCGCCTCTGATAAATGCGTCGAAACCTCTTGTTGATGTCCCCATCATTCTTTTTCATGAGCATCTCTATTGGATTTATATATTTATATTTCAGAGGCTCATATCAATAGGCCATGTACATTCAACTTCCTGCTCTTAGTTGTGTCTAGCTAATTCGTTACATATTCTCATGATTTGCACACTAAGAATTCATATATGCTCTCATTGGTTTGTCCAACATTGTTGTTGAATTATCATTTATACCGAACATGTTCTTTATTGAGCAGCCTATCATGTTAACAATAACCCATAAAATCACTTATTTTCCTATGTGCCTTCTATGTGTGTGAATTATTTTCTCGTGCTTGTAATCTCATTCCTTTTGTGCTCGCTGAATTTGTGCTTTAATATGTATTTCTTCTGCAATTGGAACTGAGCACATAGTTTGCTTTTCATAAAACCCTTGTTTTCTTACTCTGAATTGTTTCTTTGTTCATGCAGAATGGACGCTTTATGAACAAGTTGCTGTTGCTGCTATGGATTGCCATAGGAATGATATTGCAAATGTTGAGCCTCCATTCCCTTCTTGATTTCAAATTTATCCTGTTAGTCTATATGAAATACTATTGTTCAGGCAATTTTTGGAGATTGATATACTTCTTTTTTAATTTTATTCTGCGTCTGCAATCAAAAAATTATAGAGAAGAATAATGCTGTGCAATAAAAGGAAGCTTGGATAACCTAAAAATCATTAATAACCAAGTTAAATGTTGTTGAAATAATAATGTTAAGATTAATGTGTGTTAATTTTAAGAAGAATGGTTTGAGTTTAGAGTTCATTTATGTTGTTTGTTGGTTGAATTTTGTGCAATTATACTTGTGATATCAAGCATTCAGGTCCCCTTTTTATTTTTTTTCAGGATTGTATTGAAGCCCTCTCTAAGAAATTTCCAGGGAGCATTCGGGTTGGTAAGTTCTTAATTATGGATGAGATTTTAATTAATGGTGATAATGTGATATTATCAACTTCTAACTATAAATCAGCTAAATGTTGATGCCCATTCATTTGGCTCAACTGATAAGCCATTATAGCTTTCATTATCATGCACAATCATGTTAATATATCTATATATATTGAATGCATAGTTAGTATTACTACATTTTTACATTATAGATTCAACAAGTTGTCCATGTTGGGCTTGTATTTCTTTTGTTTTGTACTATTCTTTCTCTATATGAAGAACCATAGTTTAATTAATTGTACACTTCAGGCCCTTGAGGTACATGTAGGTAATGTCTTTTGTAGGAAAGGGATTAAAGTGGTGATGATGGTCATGATCTAGAAAGTTTACTTCAATCAACTCGCTATATTATTGCTAGAATGCTGAGAATGGAGATTTTTTTTGGTGTGCGTGTGAGGTTGTTGTTCATTTGTAGGGAATTGAGAGGGCTTAATAGGAAGCCGAGGGGGGAGGTAGCTATATACCTACAATCAACTCCTACTACATGCCTCATCTGTGTTTAGGTTGGAAAGAAGGCAAGCGGAGGCTGGTACATTAAGATTTGATAATAATTGTCTATCCCATTAATGGGATTAGAGCAGTGGGATTGCAAGGAGAGTTCGGAGGTGTTGTGAAGGGAGGTGATTGCCTTAGCTAAATTATATCAGTGGTTTGGGCATGTGTATTTGGAGCAAAAGGGACGTGTTGATAAAGCGGTGTGTGAATGTGTAAATAGGTGCTTCAACCTTTGCTCCTTTCTTGCTCCAATGAAACTACCACTTTCATTATAGTTAAATAACAAATATTTATGCAATTTCATGGATTTTCCAGAAGTTTTTGAAAATTGGGTTTATTTTTAGTGCTAGTGCAAAAGTAGTTTTATTCTTATAGACAGAATGTGAAACGAGTATACATGAAAAGGTTGGAGTAGCACCAATGGAAGATAGGATTAGAGAGAGTTGCCTTAGATGGTTTGGACATATCAAATGTCAGCTTTCTGATGACCCGATTATGAGAGTAGATGTATTAGATTTAGTCTATGTTATGAAAGGTAGATGTAGATCTAAAAAGACATGGTTAGAAAACATTATAAATGACATTTTTTTATTAGATTTAAATGAGAATTTAACTCTTAAAATGACACAATGGAGAAAAAGAATTCTTGTAGCTGACCCCATATAGTGGGATGAAGGCTTGATGGTGTTCTTGTAGTGTAAAAGTGTCGGTTTTAGTTGTTTCGACAATTTTAGTGTTCAAAATAGTATTGTGAGATAGGTAATCAAGAGAATAATGATATTATCTGATTTTATACAACTTGAAAATAAAAGTCACATGAGATAAATGAATAAGATATAATGTTAACTCGTTAATAGGGACACATAGTATATATACTGTATGTGCAACTTTTAATTTACAATAAATTATAATACGTGCTATTTGATAATGATTTATACATTATATTTTGATAAAAGTACAGCTTTCTCTATCAAGACTCCATCCTTATTGTGTTCTTTTATTTTTTTCTTTAAAATAAACTCAGTTAGCATGAAAGTTACTGATCAACACTCTTTAGTATGCTACTTGGTAATCGACTTTCCTCATCCGTGAGTGAATAGAGGAAAATATTAAATACAGTTGCAGTTACGTATGACCACAAACTATTTGAATATTTGTAGGCTTAGAAATCCTAAGCAATCGTAAATAAAATTATGGAATGATACAAAATTATCTTGCTAGGATGCTTATGTACAAAATGTATTTGCTCCATGTAGTCACAAATGGAATATCACTTAAATTAAAGAAAAAAAATAAAGAAATTGCACAAAATGTACATTGAAAAAAAATTGAAATGTTGTGTTAGAATGTTGCATGCATTAGGATAGATCTCGGATGCATGAATTCACCAAACAAAGCAATAAATAATTTCAACTAATATCTGCTCTAGATGCATGGAAAGAAACATTGAATTTGAAGTCATAAATGATTACCATAATCCCAAAAACATAGCTGTAAGAGATGAAATTATTCTAAACACTTATAGTTTGATCTAAATCTTCATTTCTAACAGTGTTTGTGCCTTTCCTCATTCCCAATCAGGAAATGTGGAATATGGGAGTAAATTACTAAAAAAGTAAAAGAACTGAATAGGCTAGGATGTTATCATTGGTTTCTCGAGCTTCACACTGACAATGATAAAAGACTTCACATCTATGCATGTGGGAGATTATTCTTTCTAATGGGAGATTGAATTGCCGAAAAAAATTGTAACTATAATGAGTGAAATGTGATCCGAACTCGACTACTATAGCACCCATATGGAGATATGGATCAAGGTAATTAATAATGAACGTTCATACAATTTGATTTGTGTATCATATGGTGATTGTTTGGTCTTTATGGTCCATTTTAGCAATTGCTTATAGTAGAGCAATCCAAGCCATATTCTCACTTTATAATAGAAGTTTAAATCTATTCCATAGATTACTCACTTTGAGTTGACATTGAAACAAAAGAATAAATATGTAAGGTTGGTTGATACCTTTTTTAGTGATTGTAGACTTGGAGCTCGACATCAATTCTCACTGATGTGGAAGAATTTACTTAGAGAATTTGGTTGCTATTACTCTTCAAACCTTTTTGGGCTCAGTCTTTTTTATTCTTTTGTTGACACCTACAAGTTGTAGAAACAATTTGTCTTCTCCACTCTACAAGAAACCTCAACATCCTCCATTTTGAGTACGAAGAATTTTCTCTTCTAGTATAAAGTTCAAGCTAGCATCTTTTAGAAGATCCAATTCATACAACTTATCATTTTAGAGGTTTTATGACTTATTTTTCTTCTATATAGCTTCATAAGTTCATTAAGAGAACCTCTCTATGTGCAGGCGGACCATCATCATAGTCCACTCACCCAACGTGTTTATTCATTACATTTTTATAGGTATCATTGCTACAAACACATTTTTTGCAATATCAACATGTACTTCCATAATATGTTGTACAAATGATTGAACAAACTAGAATTAGATGAAAATGACAATGCAACTAAATCTAGGACAACCTCTTGCATGTAGATCATCAAGTTTAACCTTTGCATGCAAAATTGACAACAAGTAGCATTAAGCTCCAAATTAGCTTGTGGATTACTATCAAACTTCACAATACTAAACATCACAAAAAATCTCCTAAATTTTTATTAACCAGCTTACTATCAACCAATTTAGTTTGATCATCACTTTAGGAATGATAAGCTATAGAAATTGAAGTTTGTTACTTGTCATCCTCCAAGAAGCTTTGAAGAACTCATAAGCTATCATCCTTATGAGACACAATAGTTTTATAAAGGTCATGGAGTCTTAAAACCTTACCAAAAAACGTCTCACAACATGAAATATATTGTATTGCACGGAATAAAGTGCCATCTTGATAAATTGATACTAGAAAAACATAATCAAGTTGCTTACAAGTGTATAGGAGATGAAGACGCTTCTTTTATTTTAATTAACATGTGTAACAATATGCTAGGGGTGTCAAAACATCCGCGTTCGACCCCAAATTGACCTGACTCAAATCTAGTCAACTCGACCCCGACCCTTTGATAAACGGCCCAAAAAGACAAACCTGAATTTGACTCGCTAGCAATCCGTATGACTTGAACTTGACCCATTAGCCCATAGTTAATTTTTTTTAATAACTTATTAATTATAAATTTTATGATATTTTGATAAAAAATAAGAAGATTATACTCACAAGTAAAAAAATTAAGGAAAAAAGATATTATATGGGTCATTTTTCGCTTCAAAAATGGGTTTGTGGGTCAACCTAAACCCATCTTGTTCAATCAATGATTTGGAAAATGCAATCCGAACCCGACCCATTTATTAAACAGGTTAACTCGAACTTGATTTTTTTTGGTTAAGTTTGGGTCGGGTCATTTATTAACACTCCTGCAATAGCTACTACACGTGTCACATTGTGCTTGAGATTTAGCCAATTGAAGCAATCCTTAACCTTAGTAATGGTTTTTTCTCCAACAGTGATCACACATAACCTATGTTATTTTGAAAGAAAATTAGTACTTGGAGTGGGGAGGATCATTTGTTTGAACAACATATATCTCACCAAAATCCTTATAGGTAAGAAAGACCTACGTAACCACTTCAAATCTAACCATCCTAGGTATAAGATGATGTTAACCTAATTGATTGAATCACCGAACTTGTTCGCAATACCTACAAAGTGTTGATATTGTCGTTGCGTCTGGAACATCAAAATTACTTAGAATGGACACCCATATTGCATGGGTCGTTGCACGAGTCAAGGGGAAAAATTTGCCTGTGTGCGAGGTTATGACACACAAACCAAGACGACACACATTTCAAAATACATAATTGTGAATCTAGCAAAATTATATATATATATATATATATATATATATATAATTATAATAATAATAAATATAAGCTCGATTAAATAAAAATAATCATTATAAAATTAATCTAATCTTCTGCCAAACTTTATCAACTTATCTCTCTGCCACTTCATGTGAACAAGCCGAAGAAAACTCATTGTTAAAATAAAAGGGAAAGGAAAGAGTTATTTTTTTCTCCTTCTCATCTCTCGGTCCAAAACTCATACACGAACTTCCAAATTCTTTTTGTCTCCTCCCTCAACCTCTTCTTACTGCCACTCAACTAGACCAAGCCCATCTATTGCAAGTCCCACTCCTTTGTGCGATTTCCCAATGCCAAAGCCCCACCCCTGCATGGTTAGGGGTGTAAGTGAGCCAAGCCAACTCATGAGTCATCTTGAGCTCGGCTTGATAAATGGCTACGATGAGCTAGCGAGCTAAACTTGAGCCAACCTTGACTATATCTTGCAAGCCGTCGTTTAAAGAATATCATAAAATATATTTAAAATATATTAGAGTTCTTTTGTTCAAGTATAAAGCTATTAAAAATATTTAAAAATTATCTCACTTTCATATATCAAATTATTTTTTATTATTTATCTTCTTTCATAAATAGCACGTCAGGAACAAAATTAAAAAAAACACATGAAATGCATCATTCGCTACTTCAAATGAACAAACACAGGTAGGAGGCTTCTAATGAACACAACAACTCACCTACAAGTAAAAACATGAGATTTTTAATATACACAATAGCTCAACTGTGGGCAAAAATAGGGGACTTGTAACGAACATGATAGCTCACCTGCGAGCAAGAATTATACTTTCTAACTTCAATGAAACACATGAATCCTCTAATTACAAAGAGATAATTAATTTTTGTCATTCCTACTTTTCTTTAACGTCATTGAATCCATAACATAAATGTTGTCGAATAAAAGGCATGCTTTAAGCCTTCAAATAAATCCTGCTTTCATCTCAATAATAATCACTTGCATGGACAATCAAATTTGAATATTTTAAAAATAACTGCAAGCATTAAAATAAAAATTTTCAAATTGAAGCTCGCTGATACCTCAGGAAACATGGGATAGTCCCAAAAAACATTCCACTGCTTCAAGAAGCATGCAATAGCCTAGTGAAGCGCACATCTTGGAGAAGCTATGACCTCCTTGAAAAGCATATGAACAATCTATGCAAATATACTAAAATACATGCAATTTTATCATGTGAGTGCATTGAAGAACGTGCAAGGAGATATAAAGCATAAATATGTACTATGCATGTGTATCAAAAAGCATGTAAGTGCATTATGCAAATGCATTGAAAAGTGTCCTCATTATTTAAATATAAATTTAAATTCCCTATACGTGCTTCGTCAAACATGCTTTATACTCAAACATGAAATTTTAAGAAGGCTGCACTGGGTTAAAAATGAGCTAAACTAAAATCCTATTTTTAAATTAATTTTCTTCCTGCACTATGGCAAATGTGCTTAGCACTCAAATACAAAACTCTGAGAAGGTTGTGCAGTGTTAAAAGCAAGCTAAACTAAAATCTTGTTTTTTAAATTTATTACTCACAAGTTCGTAGACAAATGTGCTTAACGCTCAAACGCAAAAGATTGATATGGCTACGTGAGGCTAAAAGTGACCAAAACTAAAATTCTATTTTTAAAATTAATTACCCGCATGTGCTCCAACTATCTTAGATTGTTATATTTTTGCCGCAAATAAAAAAAAAAATGCTCCAACTATCGCTCCTAAACCTAAAGTTTGAGAATACTATGCAGGTTAAATTTAAATTTAAATTTTAAGTTCAATCCTCTTCTTTAACAGGATCGGAGTTGACACTAGTTAATAAGTGAACACACGATCATAAAATATTTCTGAGATAAATTGGTTTTTAATTTACATTAGGCCTTCAAACTCTTTTTAAAGAAAACATATTATAAAATTGCAATGATAGTTTGTTATTCAAACCTTAACAACTTTGTTTGCCTACTAACAAAGGATTGAGTTTGATATCAGCTTTGAAAATCATTACACGAGCATTGAATCCAAGAGTTTGTAATTTTTTTACATCCTCGATGATAACTTTGTTGAAGAAAACATCAATCGGAGGGGTCTATTATTTTAAATGCATCTAAATCTTGATAAAATATCAATATCATAAATTACCTCAACATTACTCCAATGATGGCCATGTTAAAAGTGTCTCTCAATTGGAGGAGATTCATTTTAAATGTCTCTAAACCCTGATAAAATATGAATATTTAAAATGATCTCAACGTCTTCCTGATGATGGCCGTTTTGAAACCGAATCTTAATAGGAGGGGACTGTCATTTTAAATACCTTTAAATGCTGATAAAATACAAATATTTAAGTCCACATCTTTTTTGCTTTAGTCATGGATGTTCTTGCTAAACATTTACAAGAGGATCTACCTTGGCGTATTCTTTTTGTTGATGATATTCTACTTGTAGAGAGAGAGAGAGAGAGAGAGAGAGAGAGAGAGAGAGAGAGAGAGAGAGAGAGAGAGAGAATTGAAGGAACAGTTGAATTATGGTGGTCAACCATATAATGTAGAGGTTTTTATTTGAGGAGATTTAAAACTGGATACAATGAGTGTAATTTTAGTAGTAATAGATCTAGTTGGGGAATTTTGACTTTGGGCGATCAAGTCATTAATAAGAGTACACGTTTTAGTTATATTGAGTTTATTGTTCAATGTGATGGTGAAATTGATGGGGATATTTATAATATAATTCAAGTTGGATGGTTGAGGTGGAGTAATGCATTGGGCTTATTGTGTGATAGAAAAGAATCCCTCAAACTTGAGGGAAAATTCTATAAGATGGTGATGAGACATGCATTGCTTAATAGCGTAGAATGTTGGCCATTAAAACAGAAGCATAAAATTAAGTTTAATATTATAGAGATGAGGGTGGGTGGATGAGTGGTTTTACTCTTAGAGATAAAATGCAAAATGAATATGTACATTAAAAGGTTGAATAGCTCCAGTGGCATATAAGATTAGAGATAGTTTCCTTAGGTGGTTTGGTCACATAAAATGTTGGCTTTTTGATGACCCGGCTAGAAGAGTAGATATATTAGGTTTGGCCTATGTTAAGTAAGGTAGAGGTAGACCTAAAAAGTCTTAGTTAGAAAGTATTATAAATAATCTTTTTTTATTAGATTAAAACGAGAATTTGACTCTTAACATGACACAATGGAGAAAAATGATTCATGTTGCTGACTGGGACCCCACGTAATGGGATAAAAGATTGATGTTGATGTTGATGTTGTTGTTGTTGTTGTATCAAGTCTTCAATGCCTTGATTTTATTGTTTGTATAACAATTCACGAGATTAGCAGTTGAACTTATTCCTCTATTAGTAGGAAAATAGAGTCGGCAAGGTTCAAATAACTAAAATAACGAGCATTCATCCCATTGTGGGGTTTCCTACATGAATTCTTTTTCTTCATTGTGTCCTATTAAGAGCCAGATTCTCATTTAAATCAAATAAAAAAGGTCTTTTTAATACTTTCTAACCCTGTCTTTTTAAGTCTACCTCAATCTTTCTTAACATAGGTCGGATATAATACATTTACTCTTCTAATAGAATCATCGGGAGGCCGACGTTTTAAGTGACCAAAGCATCTAAGATGGCTCTCTCCAATCTTATTTTCCATTGGAGCTACTCCAAGCTTTTCACGTATATATTTGTTCAAATAATAAAAATTCAAATTATTTAAATCCCTGATGATGTTCGTGTTGAAAGTGAATCTCAATTAAAGTGGTCTCTATCCTTTTAAAATGTCTTTAAACTTTGATAAAATACAAACAATTTGAAGTGACTTTAATGTCTCATTGATGATGACCATATTGATTATGAATCTCAATTGGAGGGGTCCATTTTTGCAAACATCAAATCTTTCTGTGCAAATACAAATATTTTTAAATGATTTGAATGTCTCCCTCAAACATAAGGGAAAATTCTATAAGATGGTGGTAAGACATGCAATGCTTTATGATGGAGAATGTTGGTCATTAAAAAAGAATCATAAAATTTGGTTAAGTTTTGTAGAGATGAGGATGCTCAGGTAGATGAGTGGTTTCACTCTTAGAAGCAAAATGTGAAGAGAGTATATACATAAAAAGGTTGGAGTAGCTTCAGTGACAGATAAGATTAACACATTTCTTCTAATTAATGTCATCTATCAATAAGGATATATCACATTTCTTCTAATTGGTGGTTTGACTCAATGACTTCACAAAATAAAAGATTATTAGCAGGGCTCTCTTATTGGTGCCTTTATCCTAGATAGACATTGGAATATTACGATCACAATCAGTGCTTGTATGTTCTCCAATGGATATCACCTTTTAATAATGAATCATAGGATAGACTTGATAGGACACCAAACTATTTGTTAGCTAAGATTGACTTGAATTTATCCCTTAAACAAATATTTACTTCAAGTCTACAAGCTATCCTTTGTAAATCTTCCACTGTTGTCTTGATCCTTGATTTCCTTTAAGGATCATCATTGTTGTCCATGTTTAAAGACTTCACTCAATATTGCATTCATGCTACTTTTGTAGGATCTAAAGTTGGTGGACTTAGGAATTTGGTCTGATCTAGATATATTCAGAGAGCTTGATTTTAACAACATATTTTGATAAACTTTGACCAAAAATTATCCAGGGATTTTTTTTTTAAGAATTATCTTGGCCTTCTTTTGAATTCTAAGCTATGTTTTTTTTTTTTTGAGGAAATTAACCAAGAATATTTATGTGATTGTTGAACTTAGCCCTAAAATGTGGTGCTATAAAAAATAAGTTAAATATAATAACAAAAAAAAATGTTGGTTTAGATCCATCAGTAGAATATCAAATTCTGGGCTCAAATTTCATCTTAGTGAATTCCTTAAAGGTTTTTAATAGTAGTATGGATTTACCGGTTGGAGTAGCTCTAGTGGAAGATAAGATTAGAGAGAGTCACCTTAGATGGTTTGGTCACAGGAAAGTAAATGTATTATATTTGATTTATTTTAAGAAAGATAGAGATAGACCTAAAAAGATTTGGTTAGAAAATATTAGAAATGACCTTTCTTTATTTGATTTAGATGAGAATTTGACTCTTAATAGGACACAATGGAGAAAAAGATTCATGTAGCCTAGCCTACATTGGGATAAAAGCTTGTTGTTGTTGTTGTATGCATTTACCGGTTGAAATTATGGTTGATTGATACATTTTGGCTGCGTCTATGATTTCAGAGTAAGTTTCCATGCCTCTTTCTTGTGTGCACTACATTTTTTATTTGAAATTGAACTTCGGGATACAATTGGCACACCAGTGAATAATTGTTTCTCTAAGTATATCATGCTGATTCATTGTATTCTTATGCTTTGTGCGCATGTCCTTGCTCCTTGTTTGTTTATTTGCTTTCTTCATTGTTAACTTTCTTTTTCTATAATTTTTTCTTCTGAGTTTTCAGGCAGGCTAAAAGGGATGCTTCTTGAGGCAAAGGGGGCTTGGCCTGACGCTGAAAAGATTTATGCTCAGCTTCTAGTGGATAATCCACTTGATCAGGTAAAATTACCATTTGGTTTCATTAAAAAATGCTTTTGGGCTAGTTAAAACTTCAAATGTTTCAACTTTAGGTTGCTTCCTACGAGTCAACCATATTAATGTTCAGATACATGTTTTTTCAGCCATTAGTAAATGGTATGTCTTTGGTATTCTGGCTTATTTTGATGCATGGTAGGTACAAGGTTCCTAAGATCTATTAGGACACTTAAAAATTCAATATAATTTGACCTCTCATGATTAAGTGAAAGTATCTTGTTCATTATAGTCTTTAAGTGAAGTCGGAAGAAATCATCATGAAGATGTTGTTAGATCAGTCTAGGGACTAGTCCAGGTTTACAAAAGAAGGCAGAATACTTTCACCTCCATAGCAATTAACTTCCCTTTGGGGGTGCGGTCTAGCAGCCTTCAAGAGCATTTATGAGGAAATTAAAGGGGAGGATTAGGGGAGAAATTCGAATTAAGGGGGCTCTTTGGGTATCTTTTTTTGGTTGTTTAAGTAACATTGTAAACCTAGGGTTAAGGATATCTATGTTTTTGTTGAATTTGAGAGTTCTCTTAGGTTTGCTTGGGCTCTAGTCGTTGGCTAGGGATTGGGAGTATGATCTTCCTCTTGAATTGAAGATTCATTGCCCTCTCTTCTCACTTGTCGGCCACCCTAGTGGGGCCCACTGGCTCTGCTGCCGATCCATCAATACTCCCCTTTCAAAGGCCACCATGTCATCAAGGTGGAATGAATGAAACTGTTGCTGAAACACTGGGATAGAAAAAAGACTCAGACTAGGTCGAATGATCCCTGCCTCGAGTAACTTCTTGATTAATCTCTCATTCTTTTCGTTTTGGATTTAGGGATGATGGTACTAACGAACACTGATAGGTGAGATTCTTTCCTTTAAGATGATAGCATGCTCACGTTCCCGCAGAGGAGGTAACCCTTAAATTGGTTGAACCATGTTTGGTGCTTCTTATCTTCTCCCCATCTCTATAGCTCCATGACAGGTCAAATATTTTTTAGAGTAATATTCTAAATCATAAGATTTTGTCTGTGTTTGAGGAAACTATTGTTATATGAGAAAAAATAGCTAGTGATATTAATAATGTTACAAAACATGTGCAAGGAGTATCAAAAGGAAAAAACTTATAATAGTAAAAATAATTGATGGTCAAATTAAAATTTGTAAGAAAAGATAAAAAAATAAGAAGACTTGTTATGAAAATTGATTTATATGTAAAAATTCTGATAATTAGGATAAATATAAAGAGGCCTGTCAATGTTTAAAATTGCGTATTCAGGTATTGAGGCGTTTTTCATTCGTGAGGCGAGGCGTAAGCCTCATGGCGTTTTGAGGCGTAAGCCTCAAAATCAAAAGATTGCGTAAATATAAAATGATAAATTTTTATATACTAATGAGTGAATAATAAAAAACATAAAAAAACATAAGATATGAAGTGAAATCAAAATATCCCAATAATAAGACAACATGAAATATAGTTCAACTCAAAATTCTATCTTTCCCAAATCCCAGTATTCTTTTCATTAACATATAAAATTTCCAAAAATAAATAGCAATGACATATCACATAAGAACTCGTAAGTCATCAGCACTGTCATCACTAAAGGGTTCTTCATTTGAATCATCATTATGATGATCTGCTCTCTCCCCTTCCTCCTCTCCTATAGAGTCCAATGTCGGGCATTTACTTCAAGATTTATGTAAGTTTTAATATATATAGCGTGAGGCGTAAGCCTCATGCCAGTGAGGCGAGGCGGGCCTCAAGACGGGCCTCAACCAAGTTGAGGCGTAAGCCTCATAAAAAAACTCGAGGCGTAAGCATCGAGGCGTTTTTTACTGGAATTGCGCAAAGGCGGGCCTCAAGGCGAGCCTCATATTGCGCAATTTTAAACCATGAGGCCTGTAATGAGTCAAGAAAGCAATATGCAATGTAAAGATTTCAACTTTTAATAATTTATATAATAGATTAGATACTAAGGAGGGCGAAGATATATGTATGAGTTAGCCAAACATAGAGATAAGAGTAGTAATGATTTAGTTCAATTAAAGTGTATTAAGGATGAAGATCAAAAAGTGCTTCTATTATAAGAGGATATTCAAATAAGGTGGATGAGATATTTTTATAAACTCTTCAATGAAGATTATGAGAATGCTATTGACTTTAGTGACCTTAAACCTCTAAATGAAAATAAAGATTTTTATTTTTATCTGCATATTAGTCAAATCAAAATTAGAGAGGCTTTAAAGAAAATGATTTGTTGAAAAACTGTTGGACATGTTCATATTCCAATAGAGTTGTACTGATGCTTAGGAGATGAAAGAATTTATTGGCTTACTAAACTTTTTAATATTATTTTGAAGACTAAAAAATGCCAAATGAGTGGAGAATGAGTGTGAATTATAGAGGAATTAAGTTAATGTCTCATACTTTAAAATTATGGGAGAGAGTTATGGATCATAGGTTGCGGCGTGATATTATTTTTTATTTATTTAGGAAAATTTTAATTACAATTGAGAGGAAATTAATTAGGGAAATATATCTAATTTAAATTTAAATCTAAGAGGAAATTATTTAGGGAAAATGAGCTGATTTGGAAGGGAGTTAGGGAAGTCTTTTCAAGGCTAACAATGGAGTGATTTCAGATTATGCTTGATTTTGTTAGAATTAGTTTTTGTCTTCTTCTGTATTTCATCAATCTAAAGGCTTTTCAAGTGTTTGCCACAATATTCTTCTCTTTCTCAGATTTTATCTTGCTAAAATTTCAATTTCAATCTCATTTCCTTCCTTTACAACATCCTTAAACGACAGTTACAGTGACAACAGCATTCATCAGAGAGGTGGTCAAGTTGCATGGGATCCCGGAGTCGATAGTTTTTGATAGATATAAGGGTGTTCCTCAGTCATTTATAGAGGGAGTTGTTCAGGCTGCATGGAACAATTTTGAAGATGAGCACTGCTTACCACTCTCAGACAGACGGACAGAAGGAGGTGGTAAATAGAAGACTGGAGACTTGTAGTGTTTAGCTTTAGAGATACCTTGACGATGAGCCAAGCAGCTAGCATGAGTATAGTACTGGTTCAACACTTCATATCATTCATCTTTCCATTTGACTTCTTTCAAAGTATTGTATGAAAGGGACCCTCCTGACTTGGTGCATTTTGGACAGAGTAGCACACTAGTCTTTTTAGTAGAGGAATACTTGGAGTAAAGAGATAAGGTGTTGGATGAATTGAAGAGGCACCTATTGATGCCTCAATAAATTACGAAGAAGCAGAGGTATGTACACATGAAGGACATCTAGTTTGAAGTTTATGATAGGGTGTTCTTAATGCTTCGGCCCTATAGATAGAGGACAGTAGCAAATAAGAGGAATGAGAAGTTAACCCCAAGATACTTTGGCTCTTTTGAGGTATTGGAGAGGATTAGAGCCGTTGTTTATCATTTAAGATTACCCTCGACTGCTATCATAAATCCAATGTTTCATGTGTCAAAATTAATGAGAGTTATTGGGGATCATACAACTAGTTCAAAGTTACTAGTGACATTGACTGAGGATTTGGAGGTGGTGTTGGAACCATTGGAGCTGAAAGAGTTATGACAGGGAGGAGAGATTAAGGAAGTGATGATCAAATGGAAGAACCTGCTTGACTATGATGCGACCTGGGAGCTATGCGAAAGGGTGAAACATCAATTCTTATTTTTTCACCTTGAGGACAAGGTGGGTCTTTAGCATGGTTCAAAAAAGCGAAATCAAGAATCAAGGTATTTTGTCTTAGTGAGGTGAGGCATATGCCTCAATGCGTAATCTCAAAAACAGAAAATAAAAAACACATGAATTTATAAATAATTCATAAAAATGATAAAAGTAAAATAAAACATCAACATATTTATTTGATTCGTCATTATAGAGATATAAACCACAAATCCAATATTAAATGTTATTATTATAAAATGAAAATTTGAAATTAGATTCAAAACAAACACTCATTTAAAACTTAAATACACCATAAATATTAGAATCCGCAACAATCTCATTCTTACTTTCATATTCTTCATAATAACACTTGTATGTAATAATTATATCATGCTCAAATTCTAACTAATCGTCATCTTCTAAATATTCTTCAATTATAACGCTTAAGCCTCGAGGTGCTCATTGTGCACCTTAGTTCGAGGCAAGCCTCAAGGCGTGCACCTCGAATGATTTTTTAAGCCATGGTCTTTGGGAGGAGGGTATTGTTATACCAATCCAGGGACCGATCCAAGTTTACAAATGAGGCGGAGTACTTTCGCCTCCACAACAATTAATTCCCCTTTGGGGGTGGGGTCTAGCAATCTTCAAGAGCATTTAAGAGGTAATTAAAGGGGAGGATTAGGGAAAAAAATCAAATTAAGGGGAGCTATTTTTGTATTTTACTGTTTTTTTGGTTGCTTTAAGTAAGATTGTAAACCTAGGGTTAGAGATATCTATGTTTTTACTGAATTTGGTAGTTCTCTTAGGTTTATTTGGGCTTTAGTTGCCGGCTATGGATTGAGAGAGCAGGATCTTCCTCTGGAATTGAAGATCCATTATATCTTATTTGTGTTCTTCCATATTTCATCAATCTAAAGGCATTTCAAGTGTTTGCTACAAGATTCTTCTCTGTCTCATATTTTATCTTGCTGAAATTTTAGTTTCTGCCAGCAATTTCTGCACTTGTTTCTTAACATATGCTTATAGTGTAGAGTAGATTAGAAAGTAAATCATTCTCTAGTTCTTTAAGTCAGTCAAGACTCTATTTTGGCACACGAGAATGGTAAGTTGAATTAGCTGGTCACATGAAATTTATCACGGGAACCTACATGTGAAAACCTTTCTCATGAAAACTTATCAAGGTTTTGTCTTAACAGTATACAGTGTTCTAAGTTATTTTGAGCAGAGTTATATTTGTTTGATTAGAATGTGCAGTCTCTTTGGTAGCCACATTCTACAGACCAATATTTTAAGTTTTTAACTTCAAGTAATTAGCTAGAACTTGCTAGTATTTTTATCACATGAGCATTTAATTATGGAATCCACCACCTTTTAGGGGAGGATGACCACGATGGCATTGAAATGAATAAAACTCTGCTACTATGATCACAGGAGTTTTGGCGATATAATGAAATAATTATTTGGAATACTTTTAAAAATTGCATCTCAATGTATAATGTTTGGATGAGATTTATCTAGCTTTAATCATGTTAGTTATTTTAGTCGTTCATCAGGAAAGAACACCATAAAAAAGAATAGTTATGGCATGCCATGGAGTAGCCTTGTTGCTACCTTTTTTTTTGTGTTCCTAACATTTTTTCCTACTTCATGTATGAATTGAGCGTCATATGAGTTGAACTAGATCCAATTTAATTGAGTATTCGATTGAATTTATAAAATAATTTCCAAGAGAGGAATAATGATGTCTTGGAGAGAGAGTAAAAATCTCCAATGCCAGTGGCCCATTTCATCCGTGATAATAAACCTTAAGAAAAACTAATCACTAGGATTTGATTAAGACACCTCTGATGTAGGAATAGAGAAAATATACATGCATTCTAATAATAGAATATGATATTAGCATTTAAATAAAATTTTATGAAAACAAAATATCACAATTACTATAAAATTGTACAATTATGAAATCCAACTTATCTGGCAAAACTATTTTACTTCCGGATGCATAAATTCCTCTTGGGATAGAGAGGAATTGATTTATTTGAGTTGACCTTTGATAATATATGGAGTGTAATTTTAGTAGTAATAGACTTAGTGAGGGGATTGTGACTTTAGGCGATCAAGTCATTAATAAGAGGACACGTTTTAGATATCTTGGATCTATTGTTCAGAGTGATGGTAAAATAGATGGGGATATTATCAGCAGAATTCAAGTTGGATGGTTGAAGTGGAGGAATGCATTGGGCAGGTTATGTGATACAAATGTACCCCTCAAACTTAAGGGAAAATTCTATAAGATGGTAGTGAGGCCTACAATGCTTTATGGTGCCGAATGTTGGCCATTAAAAGAGAAGCATAATACTAAGTTAAGTGTGGCAGAGATGAGGATGCTCAGGTGGATGAGTGGCTTTACCCTTAGAGATAGGATACAAAATGAGCATATACGTGAAAAGGTTGGAGTAGCTCCAGTAGAAGTTAAGATTAGAGAGGGTCGCCTTAGGTGGTTTGGTCACGTAAAACGGCGGCCTTCCGATGACCCGGTTAGGTTAGTAGAGGTATTAGATTTGACTTATGTTAAGAAAGGTAGGGGTAGACCTAAAAAGACTTGGTTAGAAAATATTAGGAATGATATTTTTTTATTAGATTTAAACGAGAATTTGACTTTTAATAGGACACAATGGAGAAAAAGGATTTATGTAGCTGACCCCACGTAATGGGATAAATGCTTGATGTTGTTGTTGTTGTTGACCTTTGATAATTTATGATAATATCTTTTTCTTTTTTTAATGAAAACAAGCTTGACTTTGCAATCCATCTACATGTTGAGCCTCTATGTCATTATTTAAAATTGTGCAATTTAAGGCTTATGTTCAGGTCCACCTCAAGGTGCGGCGCAACCAAAGTATCTTGAAGCTTACGCCTTATAGTGGGAGAAAGAGGGGCATGCCTCAATTATTTGAGGCATGCAATGAGGTGCTTCTTGAGGTGCATGTAAATGAGGCGTATGCCCCTATTTCATTGTTTTCATAGAAGTTTTATAGGATGATGAAGATATTTTGGTTATTAATGATGTGTTCTTAGATGACAATTAATTTGTTGAGGATGAAAATAGAGTTTCACTCTTCATAATTACAAGAGGAAGGTCTCAGTATTGATTTTCTTATGAAGAAATAAGAGCATTAAAAGTTGACAAGAATGTAACAAAGATTTGATAACAAATTTTGTGTAATAGAAATTATAAAAGATCAATATTGTCATTATTTTAAATACTATTCTTATTTAATTTTATTGATTAGGGAAGAGGAAGATAATTGAAGTTGAAGGTGATGAAGAAGATTGGGCAGATGATGATCTAAGTTAGGATGTGGGAGGCAAGAAAACAATCAACTGTGATGTTCATTCTAATGAAGATTTTTTAAGTGATCGAAGTAGGAGACTTTTGAATTCAGAATCCTAAGTCATAACTAGTTTATTTTAAGACATGATTACTTGCTTATTATTGGTTCTTGTATGACTTTTCATGATGTTATTTTGTCAACTCTAGACAATAAGAGGTTGACCTAACTTCTTAAGAACTTGAATGCCCAAATTTCTTTTGCTTCAATTTTTGTTTGTCGCTAGTTCCCTTGTTGAAATTATTTGATTGGCAAATCTTCTTGTTGCAAATTTACTCCTCTACAATTCAATTTGTTGAATCTCTACATTTAGCTATTTGATCCCTTTTTCTTGCGAACACCTCTTGTTGCATGTCTTTCATAGGGCAATAAGCTGATGTCTGGTGCCCAGGCTGTCCCCTAAAGATCTTTTGAAAAATGGCTTAATACCGTAGCATGCATATGTGATGGAATGATCTAGGTGCAGCATGCAAATAAACTGCTTTTAGTACTTTCCAGCATGAGATTTTTATGAGAATTTTCTACATGCTCTCAAAAATGCCCCTTAGAAAAGTGGTTTACCACCACAACTGGCTATTTTGACAAACCCAAAACAAGATTCATAGATAGATATGTCATCCAATGGCCTTTATGGAATAAAGGTTTACTTAGACCACAGTTTTTTGTACAACCCTTTGAAGATTGACTCTTATAACAACGCACTAAACTAGTGTTATACTTTCTTGTCCTTGGCTAGAAATTTGTCTTTTTACATATTTGACTTTTAGCTAGAAATAATCATGCATTAATTTTATCAACCCTGCTAACGGGCACAGTTTCTACCCTTTGATTCTCATGGCCAAATAATCTAAATGAATATGTTCAGTCATCTTATACTATGCTTAAAGTTTCAGTTGCTAATTTGGTATAGCTACCATGATAGAAAGAGAAATTCTTTAAAGCCAGATGGAAACATGCCTAGTAATTGTTGAGAGTTGTTATATTTCCCTCTTTGATTAATCATATGGAGACTTATCATTTCGTGTGTGTGTATTATTTGGTTGATTTTTTGAATGAAATGCTATGTTTTCTGTCCAGATAATTCTTAAAAGGAAGGTGGCTATAGCAAAGGCACAAGGAAATTTAGCTGCTGCCGTGGAATATCTTAATAACTATTTGGAGACGTAAGGAATTTTAATTTTTTTGGGCTCTGTCACTGATGTTTCTAAAACTATTAATGGTAGAAATCCGTTTCGTTAGGCTTCTGATACAAATATTAAATTGTAGAAAAAGATTTACTTGGTGTTGCATTCTTTTTTCAGATTTATGGCAGATCATGATGCCTGGAGAGAACTTGCTGAACTATATATTTCTATTCAAATGTAAGGTCCTGACCATAACCGTACATAATTAGGTGAAGTTTATTTCTGATTTACATCCCTTTCTCAGGTATAAGCAGGCTGCCTTTTGCTATGAGGAGCTCATTTTAAGTCAACCGACTATTCCTTTGTACCACTTAGCATATGCTGACGTAAGTCCTCTTAACATATATTTCTGATAATAAAGACCGAAATTTTTTTACTATTTTTTCTATTTGTCATATATGGATTCTCATTTATGTAATAATGACTCCCATCTCATTCCTCTAAATGTTTCCTTAGTTTGCAGACTTTTCAGTAATTTAGTTTTGATTTGTAACCACAAGTTAAAAAGATTTTAGTGGATGCAAAATTCTTTTTATTTTATTTTTTGTTATGAAAGTTTGCTTTTACTGATTGAAGCTGGAATTGGGAAATCTGTTCGAGGGGTAAAAAAAAAAAAAACTGTGATGTTTTGATTTATTCATCTATATCCGTTAACTAATCTTTTTTTAAAATAGTCGTGAAATTCTTCTTTACTTTACTACGTATGATCTGATCCTACTCTTGTTGCCTTTGAGGCTGAGTAATCATCTAGGTTTTCAATATTCATACTGTCTTGGTATCTTTTCCAAAAGCTCTGTACTTAATGCAATTATTTCTAGAATTCTTTCCTTGTTTCTATTGGTCACTTTCATGATATGGTTGTTATGGTCAATTACTAAGGCGCAGGAGCTCTTTTTTTTTTTCTCAAACAGAAAAAAGCACTCTCATCCATTTTTCCACTGCTGAAAACTCTCTTATGGTGTGAAAATGAATTCACTTTTGGTGTTGAGAAATTATAGAACATTCCATGAGGCCCTATACAAATAGGTATGCGTTCAGCTAAAGACCATAGTATAAGTTGATAGGCATTATATAAGCATTTCCATTATCATCCCCATTATCATCTGCCCTAAACTCATAGGTATGCGTTCAGCTAAAGACCTTAGTATAAGTTGATAGGCACCATTAAGAAATTTTCCACATACATCCATAAAATTTGCTGCATTTGTTATTAGTTTGACATTAGTGCTTATTTGATTGTTTGTAGTTATATAACATATTTCATAAAACAGTGACTTTATTTTCATTCATTTTGAGCGTAAAAATCAAATCATCAATTTTTATGGCGTTTTTATAAAGTTTATGATGGTAAAAATTAATGTTGGTTTCGAATTACTTCCTAACCAATTGTGGATTTGAGAATCTTCATCGTTTTTCAAAGAAGGTTTTCGAACTCGGGGCAACCAAATGAACCCTTAGCTAATATTTTCTTTTGACTTCTAACATATTAGCTTGTGGAAACCTTTTATATATATATATATATATATTTAACTTGTGGAAACCAATTTTTCTACAATTCGTTCGTATTAAGGGTTGGAAAGAAATGCTGGCTTTACTGCTTTAGAATCCACCCAACTAAACAGTGAAATTAGTTCATTCAAATTTCAATTTCTTCTGTAAATTCCGCATAAAATTTCCACGCATCTATGTTCATATTTCATCAATGTGCATCTCTTGATTCATAGGTCCTCTACACGATGGGAGGCTTGGAAAATCTTCAGGCGGCCAAGAAGTACTATGCTTCGACCATCAATCTTACAGGAGGCAAGAACACTAGAGCCCTTTATGGCATATGCCTGGTAAGCTAAATCCTTATTCTCCACTTTCTCTGGTCTTCCATCTCAATCAGCGAAAGTGAGTAAAATCTCTCTTCCAGTCTAGCGTTGCCATTAATCAGCTGACGAAGGGCCGAAATAAAGATGAGAAAGATTCCGCGGACCTTCAACCCCTTGCTGCTGAAGCTTTGCTTAAGGATTACAAGGAACGGGCACCAGAGAAGCTCGCTCTTGTCACCGCCATGCTGAGGAATATAAAACTAGTTTCTTGACTTCTTTCATCTTCAAAAACAAAATTTTCATCCGAAGCATCCAATGAAACTCTGCCATAAATGTATGATGATTTGTTGTGTTGTAGTAACCTAAGCAATGATTTTATTGTCTCATGTTAAGTAATAAGGGCTTTGATTATTTATTTCGAAGAAGATTTACAAATTTGATTACGTTTCTGTTTCTGCACTTTACCATGGAATCTATTAATACTTTTCTTTTCTTTTCTTTTTTTCTCTCAATGTTATTCATTTGCTCCTTTGAACTGTTGATATCAAATCTACTTTCTAGAAAAAAAAATTGGTTAGGGGAAAATTTTATAAGATGATTGTGTGACCTAAAACGTTTTTTGTGTAGAATATTGGTTATTAAAAGAACATAAAATTGAATTTTGCGAAGATGAGAATGCTCACGTGGATGAGTGGCTTCACACTTAAAGAGACAATTAGAGTAGCTCCATAATTGTTGGAATACATCTCTCATAATATATTGTTGTGATTGCACTCAATCTATGGTATCAAAGTAGCCGTTAGTTGTGTTTGATGCATGTTTAAACTTTTTTTTTTTTTTTTTTTGGGACATTTAGGCCAATTAAGGCAAACTCACACACACAGCATGTTTAAACTTTATTTGAACCTCTTTCGTATCATTTTTAAATCTTGCACAAATATTAATTTATCCATATTAGAATTATATTTGAATCGTGCTGGAACATGATTCAATTATAAAGGCAAACTTCATTGGAATATGATTTGAATCTTGCTTAAATTTATTTGCTTGCATTAAACTTTAAATAAAGAAAATAATTTTTTAAGATCGTCTGATTAAAAAATAGTTTGGATTTTCTTAAATTCCCTGGAATTTTTTTAGATAAGTGTAATACATTAATAATTTGCATAAAACTCATCTCAAAATAAATCTAAAATTTTTTAAATCCATTATAACCCAAATTTTGATTAGGTAATAAACTTTTTCTTAAATAAATACTCTACATTAATAATTTGAACAAAATTTTTTTTTATAAGATGACTTGATCAAAAAAAGATTTTAAGATTTTCAAATAGATTTCACTTATAAATTTGATAATAAAATAATTTATATTTTACATTTGATTTCAAATAGATTTCAAAATTGTAAAAAATATTTTAATCAAAAATTTTAATAAAAATATCATAATTTTTTTTATCATAGAAATAAATATCTATTTGGGACAGCTTCAGCTTTTTATAAAGGCTGATGCTAAGTTTTTTTTTTTAATTATTATTATTATTATTTGATTAAAATTCACAGTGGGGCTTACGCATTGATATAAAATCAGGTTACAAATCCTTAAAGGAGATCAATTACTCACTATGCTCGAAAGAGCTACATGAAAAGAAATAAAAAACCTATGAGCCATTGATCTCCACTAATTACAAAAAAAAAAAAAAAAAAAAAAAAAAAAAAAAAAAAAAACTACGAGAGGCTAGGAGCCAAAAAACAGTAAAAAACACTTGCAAACTATACAGTTGCCGAAGAAAATGATGACAGAATTACCTAACAACTCCAAAAAGAGGAATCTATGGAAACCAATAGCTCAAGAAATTCAATAATTGAATGCTCAGCAACACCCCTCCAACAAAGAAATACAAACATCACAAATCTAATAAGAACTCAATAATCTAAAGCAAACCCAAAAGATAAGACAAGTAGAAGAGCCACAAACAGAAATAGCCCACAGAAACAAACGAAACCAAAACCCAACCAACCAAAGAAATTACGTCCAGCCAAAAGCCGGATAAGCAGCCAAACAACCAACCAGGCCCTGTACGGGAGACAACCGGACAACGAGCAAAAACAGAGCAGATAAAAACATTTCTTCACAGAAATTGGAACAACAAGAAATGAAAAGCAGGGCAAGAGAACTATAGAAAGCTAGACCTAAATAGCAGAAGAAAACCAAACCAGCAGATATAAGGAAAACTCCATGGAACCAAAATAATATAGCATTTGATAAACTTAGGAACATTCATATGATTAAAAGAAATAACTTTATTTCTGGTGGAGCCAAAATTAGCCAAATTGATGGTACAAGAGTTCGCCGCTTTAAAAATGGTGGAAAAATTGTAATTCAAATTAAGCAGAATAGATTTAACTCTACAATTAATGTAATAACAAGACAAATTTAGAGTTGATATGTTGTTGACAATATAAAAAACCAACTAATCATTCACTTTAACCCAAAGGTGGATGTTAAGTTGTTATAAGGAATCTCATTATTAGGATGATGTTAGTATTATAAATATAGATATCTTTTAAAACTCAAAAACATATTTATTTTTTACCCACATATCTTAATAGATTTAATTGTAAAAACGATTTTCTTTTGTTAAAATTTATTTTTAAAAAATACTAGCTGAATAAAAATGTTATTGTCCAAGCCGATTAACAAGCCCCATGAGGCCCATAATCAAGAAGCCCAAGGCCTTGTAAAGCCAACTTCCGGAAGATTTTTAGCCGGCTTCTAGCCCGAATAACCGCTTCCACCGATACGGTAGCCTTCCCTCCAAATTCACTGTTTTCATCTTCGTCCTCTCACTCGTCATCCCTAAATCAAGTTAGCTTCAATGGCCGCTCTTACGTCCTCCTTCCGCTGCTGCGACAGCACTATCGGTAACAACCATTATCCCACTGCATCTTCCGCAACCGTCGCCGCCAACGCCGCCGTCGTTTTCCCCGGCCTAGCTCACTTCCCTGAGAAAGCTCTTCAGTCCTCGTCGCCTCCGCGACCCCGGCGAATTATCCTGGTAAGACATGGGGAGAGCGAAGGCAATATCGATGAGAGCGTCTACACTCGGGTCCCCGACCCGCGGATCGGCCTCACGGCCAAGGGCTGGAGCCAAGCGCTAGACTGCGGGCGTCAAATCCATGATATCGCTTCATCCGGTAACGTGAAAGACTGGAAGGTATACTTCTACGTTTCGCCCTATCTCCGGACCCTCGAGACGCTCCGCGGCATTGGTAAGGCCTTCGACCGCTCCAACATCGTTGGCATCAGGGAGGAGCCTCGCCTCCGCGAGCAAGATTTCGGTATGAAGTTTCTTTTTCTGGTCCGTGTAATTTGATTGTTGTGTAATCTAGAAAGGGCAATGTTGGGATATATATCATATCTTCAAGATGTTTTGATTGCAATTTGTACTTTACCTATTTAATTACTGAGCAAAATGCTGAAAACAATACAAGCTAGAGCCTCATTAAAAATTCCTAATTTTTGGGTTACCTGTTCCTCTTAATTAGGCCAGGATAATATTTAATAAATTCAACACACATCCAGATCTCAAACAAGAAGCCAGAAATATCTCCGTATAAAGCTCCAGTCAAAGCAACACGAAGACAGTACAGCAAACCATATGATACACTCGAGACATGCATATTATGATAAAACTAAAAATTAGCAGACGATTAACCTAAGTATAGAAAAGATTAACTTCATGCCACAGCTGGACTGATCGACATTATGGGGATGTGCTTCTTTAGTGTCTCTATGGCTCTCTACGAAATAGAAAAAGCTATTTCTAAATATGAATGCCCACTTATATTATTGTAGCATAAATCAAAAGCAGTGATCTGCCATAAACCCCCGCCCACTACTGAAAGAAACATGTCTGCAGGGGCTTATTGATTCCTTGAAAAAGTATTGGTTATTGGTACAAATATAATCAATGTAAAAGATTTGAAGTTTTCTTTCAAAAAACATATTCGAGTAGATCACTAGGGTTTATAAATCGCCTCAGAATAGCTATTGCATTGCTTGTGGGATCTTTGAAACTATACTAAACAGTAATTATCATGACAGTTAAAGTGAGAGAAAGAGCTTTATCACAGTAATTGACTCCTATAAAAATAGGCATTGAAAAAATTTCTTATTATGAAGGGAATATCATAGATATTTGTCAGGGTATCAAAATAAGAAGATTGTTCGAGAAAGCAACCGTGAAGTGGATCATGAATGGGAATCACAAATAGGGAGGAAGAAGTGATGGCAACCATCAAGCGGTATCTCAAACATCATCATTAAAATTACAATCAAGTCCAACCCGGCCATCCAATTATTCTTTAAGTATGATTTGATCAAAGGATCAATAAATTATGAAACTTTATTAAAATTAGGTTGTTTTAGGAATATTTTAATATTTTATTATGGTTTATTTTTCATTTCAAATCACTTGGATTAATATTAAAAGTAATTAGAGGTTTAATGGATTTTTGATTGGCTATAAATGTGTCCTTAAACTCAATAATTATTTTGTTGAATTAAAATTGAAAAATGCCCAAATTAGTCTCTGGAGTTTTTGCATCGGTCCAAAGTAGTTTTAGAGTATAACATTTCTCCAAAATAGTCTCTCAACTAAATTGGGATTGATTTTGATTGCCTGGGGCTTGAATTACGTTTAATTCTATATCTCATTTCCCATCAATTTTTACTCGACTTGGGTGACCATTTGAGATCAATCTTGTATAGTAAAAGGATTAAATTACCTTCATACATGTAGGAGAAGGGGACCTTCTCACCAAGCCGAAACCTCCTTGCTCCAGCCGACTCTGCCTCCTTCCTTCCTGTTCCGATCGGAAGTTACGACATTTTGTTCGGAGGCAGCCACAGGAGCTCGCTTGGCCGTGAAGGTAACGTTCTCCCTCTCACCTGCTTCTCGGCCAAATCCCGTGACTCTGCCGAGCCCGAGAGTGAGAGAGAGAGAGGGATTTTTGTTATTTTATTACTATTATTATATTATAATTAATTATAATTAAAATTTATAATTAATTATAGTTAATAAATTCAGTATAATTAATTAATGATTAATGATTAATTATAATTATCTATTTGATTATAATTAATTTCAATTACTTATTAATTAACTATAATTGTAATTAAAGAATTAATCTTAATTAATTAATAATTAATGATTGATTATTAATTATAATTATTTAATCAATTATAATCATTATTAATTATAATTGATTATTTATTATAATTAATTAATTGTTAATTAATTTTAATTGATTGTTATTAACTATGATTAAGTATGGTTAATTATAATTAATATAATTAAGTTATAATTAATTATAATTGAAATGCAAATGCTCCCCTCTACTCTCTTACCTCGGCGTTCGTGTCGGACCAGAAAACCGCCCCAAGCACACCTTTGGAGCGTGTGGTGGGATAGGACCCCGGTGCAACAACTAAGACGAGGTAGGCGAGTGACCCCTCGATCCACGTGCCAACACCGACAACCCCGCGAAGGTACGAATCTTTCTAAACTCAAAACTCTACTTTAATGTTCGTGGCGAACCGGAAAATCACCCCAAGCACGCCTTTGGTGCGCGTGGTGGGATGGGACCCCGGTGCAGCACCTACGGCGAGGTTGGGTCGCTCATAAGTACCTCCGAGCAGGGTGAAATAAAAAATTTGCTTTTCAAAAATGCTTTTTAAAAACCCCATGCATGCCTTTATTGCCGTGGTGGGAGAAAAAAAAAAAAAATCGCCGCGGTGTCTCACCAACACCAACCGTGCATGACTTTGTTGACGTGGCGGGTAGGCGGCCTCTTGGTTTTTTTCCCCTAAACGGGGGAGACGCCAGGAGGCTGCTGAATTTTTGTCTGAAATACAGACAAGGACTTGGAGAAGAATGGGACTTGTGGACTTGATTCAATTAATCTACTTAAATAAACTTGAACCCAAATAAATTTGAATCATAAGACTTGAATTTGACTGAACTCAAGAGGCTACAAAGGACTTGTCACATGAACAAACGAAAGTAAACTTGAATGTGGACCAAAGCTGAACTTGAACTCGGACTCAGACTCCAGGGGACTTTATTTAGACTTGATTTGAACTGAACTTGATAACTGAATGACAAAGACAATGAAGCTTGAACTGAACTTGATTGATTTCACTTTGAACTTGAACTTGGACTCTACAAGACCACAGGGGACCTTGATTTGGACATGAGCTTGGACAATAGAACAAATGACTATACTTGGGCTTGGACTCAAGCCAGAACTTAATGTTGTACTTAAAAGGAAATATGGATAAAATCAAATCCTATGACATGATGTGATGTTCTTAATAGATAACACAACTTATTTGCAAATATGAATCGATAAGAGCTCTACCCATACACTATGGTCTCTTTTAGTGACAACAAAAGATCTGCAACATATACAAGATCTCTATAAAGACAGATGTACGTGCAACATGGATAGATGAAGAAAGACTTCAGTAAATGCAGTATCCTGAAGTCAATTTCAGTATGTGAAGGAATACATCTACCTGTCCACTCACAACAATGACGGATGTACTACATGAGCCAAACAACTACAATAAATACAAGCATCTATGAACAAAATTAGGAGATTCGTTAGTGCACTACGATCCACCTGCAAAAATCATGTATGTAGTACATGACAATTTAACTATAGGAAGCAGCGAACAAGTCTATTCAAAAGCTGCTACGCCATGCCACCGGATCCGCAACATTCATACAAGCGGACAGAAGTCGTCTACAAATACTTTCAAAATACTTCTGCAAGTGCACCACAGCTTGTATACACACAGTACATAAAGGGGTATGTCAAATCAATGAAATTCCTAAACACCCGCATGGGCCCCGGCGAGCGTGTTATTGGTACACACGTGACGTCTAGGGATGCTGCGTGGGTTATTAAATTTGAACCCGATCCTTCTAAGTAGATAAAAGGAGTTGACAGGGTTCAATTATAAAATGCCCCCAAACGCCCGCATGGGCCCCGGCGAGCGTTCTATTTGTACACACGTGACGTCTAGGGATGCTGCGCGGGTCAATAAGTGAATTCTAGTTCGAACCCGATCCTTCTATACGGATTAATAGGAGTCGACAGGGTTCGAACTTTCAAATAGTTACACGGTCATGGCGACCAGTGTATTTGTTTTAATACATTCATATTCGTCCTTCGAGGCCTATAATACTAAGAATCCACTATCAAGGGCATAAAGCCTATGAAACCCGATCCTCGGTCAACTGCTCGGCTGAGTTGACAGTGTTCAATCAACAAAAGAGAAATGACCCCAAAATGCCCCGATGATGTCCGTGTTGAATGTTTATCTCAAACGGATGGGTTTACAAATATTTTTAAATGCCATCCCAAATTCCACAAAAATCCAAAAAAAATCTAAATAATATTTAAAATTGAAATAAATTCATCAAAGCACTTATATCAAAATTCATTCACCCTCCGCAATAGTTTGCTGAGGTGGACAAATCTAAAATTTACTCCTGCTCACAAAGAGCCAAATGCCTAGTCGAAAATATCACTAGGATCCATTCTCAAACAAACTCCTGCCAGTAAGGATGTGGTACGAGTTTTCTAACCGGCAGTTTCGCCGCCAAATGGCACTGCAGGTAAACGGTTATGACTCGGGGCCCTCTGGACCGAGTGATTTTGCCTCCAAATGGCACCACAGATAGCGGTTATGTCCAGAGCCAATATGTTCCTTATTGACATCAAATCCTTGAGATATGAATCAAATGGATATGATCGATAGGGCACAAAGCCCTCTGTAAGTTTAGGTGGATTCAAATTTGCCCCCTTAGACAAACATTCACCCTAGGTCTACAAGGTCCCCTTGGACGAAGCAACCCATGGCTGCCGACAAGGATCCTTCTGACAAGGTTGGGTCGACTACCTCCTCTGACTAAGTAGACCAGGGACCACGATGGCCCGGGACAACGGAACCATGGGATCTTGATCGGGTCCATCATCCATTCCCCCACCATCCGCTTTAAGTGAAATATGGTGAAATTTTCAATTTTAAATATCAAACTCTTTTAACGCAAATTTCCAAACATCCAAACATTCCAAATTCCCAAATCCAAAGCCGTTGCTACTACTATATGCCAGATAACACGTATATTATACGTATCTGATTGATGACTAGCCTTAATCGAAAGTTCTCTCTCGTTATCGGGAGGGGTAATTAACTATAGGGGCTTGCGCTTATAGGAAACCAGAACTCAGATTATAAAGTCCTCGCAAAATGAGGGCGAAATCTCTGGGTAGTGTCTTATCTACAAACCCATCTGCCTTCCAAAATTTACCCCGGAACTTATTCCGTTAAAACTCCCTCACCGAATAATAAGAATAGCTAGTGGAGGCCGGGGCCGAATTTTTGGAGCCCACAGGTGGGGATCCATTTTAGGCTTTTCTTAATTAAAATAATCCAATTTCATAGTTTATGTTGATTTATTATGTTTTGCTTTCTCTACCATACCTCACTCATGTTGTTCTCTTCTACCGATCACCGATATTCTCTTTCATATTATATCCCTAACTCTGAATTGCCTTAGAAGCTCAACTGAACCTCTTCCTCTCTTTCTAGCAAACCTTGCCAAAACTTAACCAACTCATCAAGTTTCTATTCAAATTCACTTCTAATGATTGCTTTGTATTCCACTATCTCGAATCTGAGCCTCCTCTCTCTCATATAGCTAAAAAAATCCTAAATATGAGCCTACAATAATTCTCACCTGATTCTGACTTTCTTTCTTTAATTGCAACTTTCACTGTTTGATCTGTAGCCAATCACTTAATGCTATGACATAAACTTGGAATTATACTAAAAGAGATTCTAAAAGGTGTTAATGAAATTTTTTAAAGTTTTCTTATTGATGTCCCCGTCAGCAGAGTAGATGTATTAGATTTGGTTTATGTTAAAAAAGATAGATGTTGACCTAAGAAGATTTGGTTAGAAAATATTTGAAATGACCTTTCTTTATTAAATTTAAATGAGAATTTGATTCTTAAAAAAACAAATGGAGAAAAAAAAATTCATGTAGCTGACCCCACATAGTGGGATAAAGGCTTGTCGTTGTCGTTGTTTCTTATTGATCTATCAATCTATTAAATGTACCCTGAACATTGTTTCTTGCTGTAGGTAACATCCCCTCTCAGTTCTTTTCTTTTATGTTGAAAACAACACGAATGCTATTTATTTTGGATTCCTCATTCTTGGATTAGAACAACAACCCTTTGTATTTTCCTTCAATAAACAACAGTTAGTTTGCTGTGCCTCTTCTTTTTGTTTTTGGCTGAAAACTAGCTATTAGGATGGCCCTTGGGCTAGCTGAACTAGTCCAACCTGAACTGTTTCTTTGCTACAAGAGGAGGGGGCGGAATCAAAGGGAAGAGAGAGAGGGGGCCGGATGGGGAGGGGGCCCACAACTCAATTAAACTTTGCTTTGGGAGGAAAAATTTGAATTAGGGGCTGTTTAGGGATTTTGTATTTGTCCTCTTTGCTTTAATTAGTTTCTTTTGTGAGGGTTAGGATTTTCATCTTGAATTTGAATTTGAATTTGGGATCTCCTTGGTGTGCTTGGGCTCTAGTCTCTTGGCTAGATATTTGAAGGGTTGTTTCTTCCTCTCGAATTGAAGAAACTTGTATTGTTTGCTGTTTTTCTTGTTCTTTTATTGAATTGGAGACTCTTGCTTGCTATTTTCTCTAATTAATCTGAATTTCCTGCACCAAACTTGCTGAATTTATTTGAAATTCAGCAATATCCTGCACTTGGGTAGCTGTTTTCTATCAAATTGGTACCAGAGTGTGTCGATCCAAGGGTTGTCCATGGTTGGAAGGAAGGTTGAAGCCTTGGAGGGAGAACTTGGACAACTAAAATCAGATTTCGAGGAGAAAACCTTTGATTTTCAGAAGCAGTTTGCATCCATCCATAAAAAGATGAATGAAAGGTTCGCCGCCTTGGAAGACATGATGAAGAAGATGTTTGAAGACAAAAAAAATCCGGCGACATCGGAAGCTAAGGAAACCACCGTCGGCCATGGGAGAGGAGGAAATTCATCCGTGTAGGGTGAAGGGGAATTCGAAGTGGAATTACTTTAGGGAGATGATGGAATGCCTCCTCTAGAATCACTTTCTAGGGAGGAGATAAGTATGAGCTATGAAAGGAGGGGTGCTGATTTTATGGGGAGAAGGGAAGATTTCTACCACCGAGGTGCTGATTTTGAAAGAAGAAGAGGGGAATGTGATGAAGGGTTTGGGTATGATCACCGGAGGAAAGATCGTGACGATTAGGGAGCACTTCCTCTTTTTGAAATGGGAGCTTATGGATAATTCAGAGGAAAAGGGGGTGATTCGAAGGTGAGAAAGTTAAAGATGCCCATCTTTGAGGGAGAGAGCGGCTATGACTGAATCTACAAAGTGGAGCATTACTTTGCTATCAACGAGTTGACAGAGGAAGAGAAGATGATTGCGGCAGGACTGTGTTTGAAAGGTAAGGCACTAGCATGGTATGAATGATGAGACATGAGGCAACCCATTCGAAGCTGGAGGGAGTTCAAAGATTGTTTACTTGAACATTTCCGAATCGGTATGGGGGGAGATTTGTATGAGCAATTCTTTGCCTTAACACATGAGGGGACCGTGACAAATTATCGTGATAGGTTCGAGTATCTGGCCAGCAGACTAGACCGGCTCTCAGAGACAGTGCCTAGATGACAACTTTATGAAGGGGCTTAAACCGGAGGTTCGAGCAGCAGTTAGGGTGATGAGGCCTCGAGATTGTTGATCCGTGGGTTTTAAATTAGTGAAATTGTTAATGCATCAATCAAATTTCCAATCAAATTAACTTAATCAGAAAAATAATCTAACTCCCTAATCAATTACATAATAAGTCATCGAAGCCTTCCAAAATAAGACTAATTTAGACTTGGAAAGATTTCCAAATAAGCAGCAAAGCCCACTACTTTGATTCAAAATCAATTTCATGAAGTAATTCACAAAAAACCTTATTTTTCTTTTTCTTATTTCACCTGCCATCTTTCCTTGCATCGGCCTTCTCTCGGGGTCTTGATTTTCTTGGCTAGAGAGCTACGGAATGTACAATCAGAGGAAAATGTGGAAAATAATGTTTAAGCTTTATATACATATAAATTATCATCTTATTATTCGAATCCAAGTTAAATCCATCCTGCCGATCATTGCTTCATCAACCAATGCACACGTTTAGCTAAGTGGAATTCCTATTGGAAGCTACAGGACAATATTTGCAAGAGTAGTGCAATTAATGAAATGAATAGTAAAATTAAATGACTTTAGGGAAATAATTTATCTATTAAATCAAAATTTATATACTAATTTACTTTGATTTGCGTTTGTGTGCGTATATATATATATATATATATATATAAAATTTATCAAAATAATTTTAATTATTTTTGTGAGGTATGCAAAATGGGTATAAAATTTTTTGATAATTTGTTTTTATCTTTTCAAAACTTTGAGTATCACATATGATATCCAAACCATGTGAATACATTTGTAGCTAAACACAAACACCATCCCCTAGACTTTAGAGTCTATTTAGTTGTCCTACTTGACTTCATATGTGAAACTTGCGGTCTGAAAAACTTGACTCTTATCATCTGCCTATGAGTTCTTTTTGGCTTTTCCGCAATGTCATTATTAGTTTTTCTTAATCCGAACTTCATAGACTCTAATGACAATCTACATTGTTTGGGCTATATTATTCTGATTTACCTGTCTTGAAGTTATCAATTGATCCATTTCATTTAAATTTATATTTTTCTAATGCATTTTTTTGTCTTATAATGTGGTGCAGTATTCTTAATTTATCATCGTTCATATTTTTGTTTTAATTCTTACACTTGATTACAACAAAATCAGACACTTCAGAATCTTTCGGAGTATTTATGCCAATCTTAATATATGTGTAATGTACGAAGGGAATTTTCAGGACAGGGAGAAGATGCGAGTTGAGAAAGAAATTCGACTACGCTATGGCCGTTTTTTTTACCGGTTTCCTAATGGAGAGTCAGCAGCTGATGTATATGATCGCATTACAGGTACATTAAGCATAACATCTGTTCTATGTTTTCTGACCATTTTTCGAAAGCAATATTAAGTTTTAGTTAAGGTAAATATAAAGTCTTAACCAAAACTTTGTATGGATTCGCTGACCATTTTTCTCTAAGCGTTATAGCTTTATATTTATGCAGTATTACTGCTACAGGCTTTAGGGAGACACTTAAGGCTGATATTGACTTCGGACGTTTCCAGCCACCTGGTCAACAGAATCCGAACATGAACATAGTGATTGTTTCGCATGGCTTGACATTAAGAGTTTTTTTGATGAGATGGTATAAGTGGACAGTAGAGCAGTTTGAAGGTCTCAACAATTTTGACAATGGTGGATTGTTAGTTATGCAGACCGGTTTTGGAGGGAGGTGCTTTTCTTATACTTCATATTTCTTAAACTGATGCTGTGTCTTCTACTACATTTCCATTTACTTTTCTATTCTGACTTTGTTTTCTCTTTCTATCTGTTGTTTGAAGGGTGCTTCCTTTTTTGTTCTTGTATGTGATCATGCATAATCTACTGGGCTGTTGAAATGATGAACAGTGCTTATAGCCAAAGTTCAAGACGTTTAAGGTTGACGATGTACTAATTTATTTCTAGAATTGTTGGAAGTTGAGAAATCCGAGTCATTCTATAAGCTAATTCAGCCAAAAGGAAAAAAACAAGTTGTAGCTCCTATCTCTACCCCTTGCTTCCAATTTGTTTCCACTGTAAGACGGAAGATTTAAAAATGTGTAGTATCTTCTAATTCTTGAGTGCTTATTTGGGATAGAAATTTTCTTAAGAAAACGGATACTACATTCTGCGGGGAAAATTATGTAAATGACTGAATATTGGATTGTTATATATGCTAATACATTGTTTGTCAACATACACATATATTACCTTTTAATGTTTTCAAATAAGAAAATGCTTGATAGGAATTTGTCCTCCACACAATAAAAATAGCAAGAATAAGATAAAACACAAGATGTTTATTTCAGGACAACAAATCAAGATAAAAGTTGATCTGCTATTCGAGAGGTAGATCGGCTCTCCACAAATCCTAGACGCTGCTAGGAACAACTCCAAAGAAAACTATAGCGGACACCCATAAAATGATAAAATAAAACCCTATTAACCTTAATATAAACCTTCCTACTTCCTTATTTTGAATTCAAATCAGCCCAAATCTCTTAATAAATGCTCCTTACATCTTTCCCAAAGAGCTCCCCCCCAAAGTCTCTTCTCTTATAGGTGATAATAGAGTTCTTGGTCCCCACAGGAGAGCTGAAAGGTTCTTGATCTGCTGAAAAGTTTATGGGCCCAACATCAATACTCTCCTCCCAAGAAGTCATCTTGTCCTCAAGATAGAAAGAAGGAAATGTTAGCCCGGTTCAACCTGAACTGGCTCAGTCGGCCCAAGGGCCATTTCAGGTTTACAGGAGGCGGACTAATGCCATTTCCTTCCTTTCAAATGGTGCCATCAATCCAAGGGGGGACCTACTAAGGGCTAATTAGAGAAAGAAAGGGGCAGTTAAGGCATGAGAGGAAATTTTGAATTAGAAATTGAGTTGGGGGAATTATTGTATTAAATGGAAGGAGTTGTGAGGGTTAGGGTTATGCTGCTTATTGTTTTTCTTAGAGTTCTCTTTGTGTTTTTGGGCTCTACATTCATCGTTTAGAGATTGAGCGGATCAATTGTATCTAGCTTGTTCTTGCTTTTGGTTTGATTCCTATAATACAATCTATTATTTTTGGATTGTTTTCATTGGAGATCTTGAGGTTTTCTCACTGTTTTCACCAATTATTGTTAGGTTTGCTAGCAAAGTCAAGTATTTCCCATTAGGGTTACTTGGGAACTCACGTATTTCCTATTAAATTGGTATCAAAGCAAGTCTTGGGACCATCAGGGGTTGATTTTCTAAAATTTCAGCTGCAAAATTTCATTTGGAAGAAGGGACCCTTGCTGATTTCTTGAGTAAAAATCAGATTTTTTGATGGTTGCCAAGAAGGTAGACGCGTTGGAGGAAAGATTGGAAGGAGAGATGAGCCAAATAAAAGCTACGATGGAAGATCAAATATCATCCGTGGAAGACAAGGTTTCTGATCTCCATGCGATGATGAAGAAGTTATTGAAGAATCAAATACAAACGGTGGCATCGGAGGCGAAAGAATTAGTGGTGAAAACGACAAATTTTGATTGTCATAGGAGGGACGATGAAGTGGAAATCATGGAGGAACAAGGTGGGAGGTATGGAGGAAGGAATGGTTATGGGGGGGGGGGAGACTCTAGGGGTGCTGGTGGGAAAGAAAAGAAGGGGAATACCGGAGAAGTGGTGCTGATTTTGAAGAAAATAGGGAGGCCCAAGCACTATGGAGAGGGGAAATTATAGAGGAATAAGGTGAAATGTGTGAGATCAGAAGGTGAGGAAGCTGAAGATACCTTTTGTTGAAGGGGAGGATGCACATGGGTGGATTTATAAGATGAAAAGATATTTCGCCATCAATGTGCTAACGAAGGAGAAGTTGACTGTCGCAGGCCTATGTTTGAAAGGGAAGGCATTGTCTTGGTACATGTGGAGGGACCAGATGAGACCTATTTAGAGTTGGAGAGAATTCAAGGATTGTTTATTGGAATGTTTCTAAACTAATAAAGGAGGAGACTTCTATGAGCAGTACTTTGCTCTAGTGCAGGACAGATCTATAGCAGAATACCGAGAGTAGTTTGAGCTTCTGGCCAGCAGGGTGGAGTGATTCTCAGAGACATCCTTGGAAGGGAACTTTCTGAAATGGCTCAAATCAGAGATTAGAGCTACAGTAAAGGTACTGAGGCCCCATAACTTGGGAGAGGCCATGGAGTTGGCATAGTTTGTGGAGAATCAGAGGCACCATGAGAGGGGAGCTGGAGCAGCAGTTCAGGAGGCTACTAGAGGATGACCACCACCCTTTTAGCACCCAAGGGTCCAACAACAGGAGGATTAAGGGAGACTACCAGGGAGAAGCCAGTAGGAGGGGGTAGTGGGAAAATTTCAAGAGGCTGACGGAGAAGGATATGCAAAAGAAGAGCGCTAAGGGGTTATGTTTCCGATATGATGAGAAGTATACGACAGGGCATAGGTGTATGGACTGAATTCTTCAAGTTCTCACCGTCTGTAATGATGAGGAAACTGAGGAGGGAAGTGAAGGGGAGGTAGAGTCAGAGTTAGAAGAGAAGTTCCATCTCGATTTGACAGAGGTTTCCCTGAATTTTGTGGTAGGATTTACTACGAATTATACCTTGAAGGTGAAGGGGGAGATAGGGGACAGGGAGGTGGTGGTACTGATTGATAGTGGGGCTACCCATAATTTCATTTTCACTCAAGTTATCAACCAACTAGAGTGAAATTTTTAGACACCGGATGTTATGGGGTAATGATGGGTACTGGGAAGGTGGAGAAAGGCCAGGGGATCTGTAGATGTGGGCTCCAAAAATTCAGCCCCGGCCTCCCTGCCGCGCGATTTCTTTTTCTATTCCAGCGAGAGAGTTTTAACGAAATAAGTTCCGGGGTAAATTTTGGAAGGCAGATGGGT